TAATAGGAATCCGTGGTATTAATATATTTTCACCTCGGAACTTGCCATTTAAAATTTCAATTGTAAATTATGCGGTGGCATGCCTGGCAAATCCAGTGAGTTCAAAAAAATGGGAAAATTTACGGCTTCGCTGGCATCGCAAACTGTATCAATAGATTTGTATGATACCAAGTTCCCTGGCAACAACTGGTGTATCTTCAGATTTAAATTGTCAACGTCTACATTTTTGTCGCTAAAATTGCTCTTTCTGCAAGCCACTCATGATTTATGTACTGTGTGTGTACATCGGGAAATATTTGTTCAATGAGAGTATCTTGCGAATCAGCGATTCTGCAGAAATCGATCGGTAATTTTACGTATCCAGTTTCATCTATAGCAACTTTTCCATCACCGATATCTAAGAGTTGTTTTGGGAATGTTTCAGCGGATGGATCTTGAAGCATTTGAACGCGCATATTTACTTTCAGCTGTACTTTTTCAACATTACGCCACGAGGGAGATGATTTTAAGCAAGCGTTGATCTCATCAGCGTATATTGATCGTGGTATGACGGGAAGTGTTTGTCTGAAATCACCTAAAAGGATCAACAATGTTACACACTGCGTCAGGTTTATTTTGAATATTTAGTGGCAGCTTAAATACTGAATGAGCTGTTCTGCCTCCATCCAATAAAGTTGCCGCAATGCCCGATGATGCAACGGCCAATGCGATGCCATTATTTGATCGTATTTCAGCAAGAATTAGCGAAAAAAGGAATGTTTTGCCAGTTCCACCCGGTGCATCCAAAAAGAAGAACCTACCTTGTCCTGCTGAAACTGCGAGCAAAATGCGGTCATAAATGGTTCTTTGTTCCTCATTCATTAGTGGGACATTGCGAATAACAATCGCTGCCATTTCTACAGTGTTGTACTGCAGTTCACGATTCATTTCAGTGTTAATTAAATCAGATGCAGTTCGATTTGGCGAATTCATACCGAAATGACTGAGTGATAAGTTGGCAATGACAAAAGATCCTCAATAGCAATCAATGCTTCATTGTACATAGCGTCGCTGAATGTTATCGTTAGATCGTTGCACCGTGTACGATGTTGATGCATTATATCATCAGTATTGAATCTTTGTGATTATCCCACAATATCTGTGCTCGGGCTGGGAAACATGTAGTCAACACTATAGCGAATAGTAGACGAATTTGTATTGCTGTACAGTTCAATGCATTCAAAATTACCGACCGATTTCTGCAGCAAGGATACATTCCCACTCGTTGTTGTCTTCCAGCAAGCCGAGTGCAAAGCATGCATCTTTATACGTTGGATACTGTTGCCCATTCACTTTACGTATATTTTGAAATGATAATGGGCTAGTAACATTAACCAACAACAGTCGAAGATAAAAGCACTCAGTGTGTCTTGGACTGTAAATAATCGCCCCAAAGCGTTTGATATAAATAAACTGAGACATGCATCAACTCAGTCAACTGGTGGTGAGCCTTGCTTGCGGGGCATCCATTTTTTTGTTTGAGCCCATGTGAAATAGCGTGGTACTTGTGAATAGAGTAATGTTCTTGCAAAGGCACCAAAATCATCCGCACGATTACACAATTCAAAAAATTCAGTGAGTGTAGTTTTAGGTGGATTTATAGCACGATCAATCACTGTCTCGTTCGTGAAAAATACACGCTGACCGTTTTCAAGATGGACGGCTAACTGAACAACTGCTGGATCCCGTTCATGAATTGGAAAACCAAAGATACTCCAAGCAGCCTTATTGGAGCTGATGGACCGACCAATTTTGTAGAGCGTTATTTCATCGCTTTTATTCACTGGAGGAGCATTTACATTAGTATTTTCCACTCTAAACACAGCCATATCACTGCCTTTATAGACATACTTGCAAATGTATTTGATGCTCTTCACAGAACTGCAGAACTCAACATTAATATGAGCATTGTATGTCTTGCTTAGCAGAGGCGAATACGGCACCACCCAACGATTGTCAATGTCAATGTCTGTGTTGCTGATATTTTTAATAAATGATTGTCCGCCATTATCGGGATTTCTTCGACGATATATTAAATATCCGTCGATATTTGTTATCGTATCATTAATGAAATCTTTAGGGGAATTTTTAGTACATTTTCCATCTGCCGTGTAAGGCGATGAACGATTAAGAGTACCGCATGGACCATGGATCATTTTTGCTGTAACAATATCAAACAGCAGTTGGTCAGTAGACGGATCTGGAATTTCCGCAGAAATTATACTATCGATTTCTTCAGGACGGATTTTGTCGATTAACCAAACTAAAATGTGTGCATGAGGCAATCCTCGCTTTTGCCACTCAACCGAATACAGCCAGCAACGTGTGGGACCGAATACATGTAATTTAGTAATGAAACTTATTAAATACTTCAACTTTTGTCTGAATACACGTGCTGTAATGTCATGACGATGTATTGCATTTTGGCCAGGCAATAGCAAAGATGTAATCTCTGGTCATTTTGGATTACATGTGAACGTGATAAATAAACACGGTCGTCCATATTCGCGCATGTAAGTCAGAGCATCTTGTATATATTCTTGCATATGATTTGGACTGCCTACGTACGATGATGGTAAAATAACAGAGTTACCAATTTCGGCGACGTCGGTGTTGTTGTTAATAGCGTCTTGCAAGTGAATGTATTCTTCCGCACGCAGCTTGAGTTGATTATATCGTAAGTATCGTAGTTGTTCGCCCTCTATCTTCGCGTACATGTCGACCATGAATTGTTGACAAAGCTCACGACATCGTAGAATGACGTTGTCCAGGCCGCGTCTAATCAGTAATCGGTACGCATAATAATCTATCGAAAGCTAACGTTCTTGTTTGTTTCAGCTCCTGTAATAATATTGTTACGCGCTCAAGTCGACGATACACTAGCGCCATCTAGTGTCAGGAACGAGAGCGAGGGGAGCTTTGCAGAGAATGACATCACAAATCTTTCAACCGACAGCGCCATCCGAAGAACTAAGTTTCTAGAAAATCTACACTCGAACACTCGTCGCTTTGCGCGCATTTACTTGAATATTCCGGATGCTTCATTGCTAATTTGTATATATAGGCGCTGCAAGATGCGATCGAGGCAGTTTTGATTTGGCGAGACAAGCGAAGCTTCGGAGCGGAATAAAGTGAATCAGTGTGATTAATTATTAGTGTTTTAAGTTTAAATTTGTGTAAAGAAAATTAAAGTGTTAATTTAGGTAATTTTATCGGTAATTTTTATTGTCACGAACCTCAAGCTCGTAACAATATATTCATAAATATTAATTTAAATTAATTACGTTCAATAATTTAATTGTTTTGTTAAATGGTTAATGATCAAGTTCATAATAAAAAAAACCTGATACGGGATCTCGTTGTTTTATGTTTATGCAATATCCGTCTTGCCCCTTCCAGAATCTTAGCGGATATTGGAGAGCGTCATATGAACGATGTGTATCAGCAATGAACTGAAGATTATTATTTTTTCTACGAATCACAATTTCTCGTGCACCTGTACGATCGCCAACCATGATTCCAGCAACGTCATCAACAACAGGTGCATTGAATCTACGAATATGCTCTCCAGCTGGTGTTTTATCAGGATTAATAACAATAGAGTGATTATCGCTTTGTAATTTATGCATGTGTGATTTGAATATTTTCAACAATTCATTGTGCTCGTTCAATAGAGCATCCAGCTCGCTGAAGATGCGTCTGGCAAAAAATGAATCAAGGTTATTATAGTCACAACGTGCATTCACGCGATTGGCAAGTGCGTGAAGTAGATTTGTAAAAATGTATGTGGTTCGTTTGGCATTGGCAGCAATGAGCCCATTTTATGATAAACTTGGCCTCTGATTTTGAATGTAGAATTGTATTGTTGACCATTTGCATTAGTATTTCGAACTATTTCTGTTGCTCCGAACGATGTCATTTGAAAGCATGAATTGAATGTTCTAATTGACTTCAGGAACACGTTAGAATCAGGATCCGTGCCGATAAGTAAACCGTTCAATGGTTCAGGTGGTGTTTCAATTTCAGGTAGTTGCACTTTTCCTGACGCGCAACACATCCCAGCTGGCTCATTTTTGAATTTGAGAGCATGACAATGCGGATTCCTTGTCCATAGCACCAATTACCACTTTTGAATGAGCATAATATTCAATTTCGGACTCATACTGGAATGCTAGATGCAGGAATGAATCAGATGTAAAGCGCCCATTACATTATCCAATTCGCAGAGCGCTAGATTTAGTGCTGCAGCGAACTATAAAAAGAGCTCACTCCTTACACTAGACTAACTAGTTTAATTTCCTTTGATTTCTATAGTGATCGTCGTTTAAACCGCATCTTTCAAAAAGCGCTGAACGAATATGGTACTATCAAACCACCAGAAAGTTGGTATTGCTTTATCAATGGTGTCAAGTTTAATGATAATTAATTTTAAAAAAACGCAAAAAATTTTGGGTGAAAGATTATTTATTGCTGAGACAAAAACTATCAAATATTACGTTGGTACTCTTATTAGTTTGTGGTCAAATATGAACAATGTGAATCCTTTGTAAACTTCGAGAAGCACTTTTATCCATCATTTCATAAATCTTTGTGTTTATAATCATTATGTTTTTATCCCAAAGAAATGGCATGTTTTGTATAGTTCATTATTTCCCATTTAAGATGGCAATTAAATAAATTTGAATTTGAATTTGTAAAGAGCACTTCCTTTTCCTTAGTCGATGGTTGCGACACGTTACTTTGATCTTATACCGAAAATACGTCCTGTTCGAGCGTACGCCGACTGACTGTGACTAACTGACCTAGCAACCTAGCATAGCTAGTGTTTAGCATGCTAGAACGCTTTATACCATGCTATTTGGTGCGCTAGCTAGTGTACGATATGAGCTAGCGCGGCAGAGTCCATGCAATCGCACTAGATTGGATCACTAGCTGTCTAACTGCCTATACACAATACAAATTTAGTACGCTAGTTCACCTAGCGCTCTGCAAATTGGATAATGTAATGGGCACTTAAGTGCTCGATGTAACTGTTGGCGTTGTTGGTCATTTGTTCTGCGTCTTTTGACTGTGAAACGGCGTGATTGTCGTTGTTCTAATCTTATTACTTCATTGCGTTCAGCTCCTGTATCTTCTGATTGTTCTTGACGCAATTGCGCAATGCTCACACGTGCATCAGCATTTTGTTGCTGGATTTGTTCTTCGGTTCTTTGGGATCTTCTATTTCTCATGCATCTAGATCTACTTGTATTACGGCTCAAATCAGCCCCTTGGCGTTTTCTTGGCATTGCTCACTGTACAAAACACACATAAATAGAATTAATGAAATTACTTAATGATGAAAAACGTTATAGTTAGTTATAATTAGGATTTTTGACGCAGTTTTGAAATGATTAGTTAAAATTTTTGAATTTTGAAAAATATTAGTTTTATGAAAAAAAATTGAAACAAAAGTTGTAAAAAATTAAATTTTACTAAAAATTGTCTCTTACAATTTTCTCATACAACCAATATTACCATCGTAATTTCAAAATAAAGATTCATAATGATTGATTAAAATTTTTGGAAACTATTAAAATCTTAATTGTGAAATTACGGCTTTCCTATTGGTCCTAAGAATAAACCATAAGAGACATTTTTTTAATAAAATTAAATTAAAATTAATTTTTTATAAGATCAATATTTTTGCCGTAATATCAAAAACTTGTTGACAACATTAATTGTAAAATGTTATTTTGAAATCACGGCAAAAATCCTGGCCCTAGTTATAATGTATTTAATATTTGATTGTACACACATACATTTACATATTCATTTAAATATTAGATTGTTTTACGAAAGCGTAAAATTTTATTTTTCATAATTAAATCAAAAATATATTGTTAGAAATGGTAAAAAAATTAATACAATAAAAAGTTTGCCCAATTTTAATAGAAATTTACTTTCACCGAATCTTTTTTGACCATTTCCAACAACATTTTCGATATAAATAAAAAAGTATATTTACAACACAAAAGCCGTTGTTGGTGGGAGCTCCTTTCACGTGTTGAGTACTTTTGAGGTTACTTGATTAACTAATCGTGCAAAATACACTTAAAATTAATAATTTTATTATTAATAATAAAATAGGAATAATTAACAGTTAATATGAGAGTTACACTGAGATAGCAAAAACGATATTTATAGATAATTGTAAACGTTACTACTACACTTGATGCATAAACAATAATGATGGCCGAAAACTGTGTAGGGAGTGAGAGAAGTCTTATTGTGTGAAAGAAACAGGAGACCGGCTTTGGTCTCATCCCTACTCCGTGCTGTTTACTGAGAAGTGACACCGGTATAGTCTGGCATTTCGCTCATCAATAAAAGCGCGGCAAATTTTAAAAATCTAACTTTGGTAAGACTAAGCATATATCAGGAATAAACTTTAATAATAAAAATAAATGTTTATTTTTATAAAAAAATTTTAGATTTGCCATAAGCTCAGGGAAATTTTAATCGAAATAGAGTGAAAAACATTTACAAAAAAGACGATAATTGATCAGTTATCGAGCGGGATGAAAAATGATTAAATTACTAAAATGGCTTTTAAAAAATAGGGGTTGGTGATAAAAGGGTAAAAATTTAGGGCTGTATGTATTTTAATGTCACATTATAGAAAAATAAAAACAAAAAATTTTGTCCAAAAATTAAAAAAAATGTTAAGGGTGAACAACCCTTATCACTTAGAGGTATGAAAAATAGATAGTAGCCGATTCTCAGACCTACTGAATATGCATATAAAATTTGGTAAAAATCAGTAAAGCCGTTTCGGAGGAGTAAGGTAACTAATAATGTGACACGAGAATTTTATATATAAGATTTTGAGGGATTAATTAACAAAGTGCTTCGTGTTTATTATTAAGTTTGTATAATGATCTAATAACTCAAGCCCTGGTGGTTTTCACTAATGGTGGTAATCTCTTCCTTTGATTGTACTCAATATATGTACTGGTTATTCCGTTTATCTACTCTTGGGTAAATATATCCAAAATCGAGTGGAGAAAATCGAAAGAAAAATAATATACGTATTCCGATTATCCATCCCGTCTGGAATTTTTAGGGTAGACCCCTACCCCTTTAAACTCCTGTTAGTCCACTTGGTTATGTAATATTCGGTAGTTCGATAGTAAAAATGTCATATTTAGTGTGAACATTAAATAGCAACTTTTAGGTATAAATCTAGATTTATCAGAAATAAAAACAGAAATTTTTTATTCAATAATGATAATAAATAATACTTATTGAAAACCAGTTTTCTTTAATTTACCATAATATGGTTTTGTTTAATACCATCATAATATTATAACACAAAATTTCCATTCATGACAGTGATATTGCGCCAACGAACATAGAATATATACGGGCGGTTAACTACTAACTCTAATTCAGGAGTCTCATCCCATTCCATACCTAGAAACAAAGAATAGGTATAAGGTAATTTATTTATTTGTGTATATAAAGGTATTAAAAGCAAAAAAGTAAAAACTTGACAAAAGCTTTAATCTATATAATAATAATACACATTACAGTATTATGTTTTAGTTGTGTTCACTAAGGTACGAACATACCACACCGGCCTCACAGAATCGACGCTCACAAATCAATTACGTTAAAATAAAATGAGATCAACCAACAACAACGTACCTAGCAAAATATTGTCAACACAAGCGTTATTGTTAATAAATTTAATTAGAAATCAAGCAAAGTAAGAAATAAAAACATAATATAAATATTAGAATCCTATTTTGTAACAAAACCGAGACGTATACTTTTGACAACTTGACAAGCGAGTCTTGAGCAAAATATGATTGTAAAGAAGTAACTCCGATTGATTTAAAACAATTATTTTTTTAAATCAACCATTTTTCTTTTACTCGCAGGATCATATACCTAGAATGTGTCTATTCTTGGTTGTTGTTGGTTGATCTCATTTTATTTTAACGAAATTATTTGTGAGCGTCGATTCTGCACTTCGGGAAGTCTAGAGCCTGTGCACACGTATATTATCGCCCCCGCCTCTACATCAGATATGATAGACCACAATTCCGCGCTATGTGTAAAAAATAGTTTTTCGAGAGTACTATATTATATTAAAAATGATCCAGACCTATATTCTCTTGAATATCATTTTGATTCCTATCAGATTGAAACCAAACCTAGCGATATATTTTAAAGTTAATGATGTAAAATGATGTTCTTAAAATCCAATAAAATCAACTGACTTACAGCACTGTATCAATGATGAATAACGGTGTAAACCTTAAACTTAAATATCTCAAATTACTTTTCGTGTAACTACATCCAAATTAAAAAGCAGTCAATTATCTTTGCTCAAATCGCCCCTCCATGTTGGGACCCCTGGTGTACCACTCCAGTACAATCCTTTTATGTTTTTAATTTGAAGTTATTACTTATTTTTTACTTTACAAGAAGTTATTATACCAAATGCAAAACAGAATTTCCAACAGGTACAGCGACAATAGGAATTGGACCACAAAACCTTAAAAGTTGCGAGTTCGAACACACTATTCAACTACCGTCTGTTTAAATAAAAAATGTAGACTCGTTCAATGTATTCAAAAAGCGACTAGCAAATCATATAATCACAAACGTTTCTATCTGAGTGCGTTGGACTGGTTCTTATATTTATTTATGTTCTTATGTAAGTGGCGTATATAATGTCTTTATGAGAATAAATGTCTTTAGACCTAAACATACTATCGTGAAGAACCATTGTTAGTACAGGCGTAGTACTATTATTTATTCTGTGACTATTATTTATTCAACGGTACAGGCATTTTAACAAGCGGCAGTTAAGCATAGGTGGCCTGGTGTGGAGTATTCCGAAATCTCAATTCATAGAGTGTAACCAAATAAATAAATCCGATAGCTCACTCATCATCGATGTCCAACGAGTTAAATAATAATAGTTCAAAGGGGAGGGAACTAAAATAATTGGCAGTAACTGGTGTAACCTGTGACTCAAAATATTCGTCATACTCCAAGCGGATAATATACAAGACCATATTCAGACCAGTTCTTATGTACGGAAGTGAAACGTGGGTCGTAACGCAGAACAATGCCCATACCATACAACTGACAGAAATACAAATGTTTCGGTGGATGTGGAGTGACAAGACTCGACACCATTAGCAACAAGTACGTTAGTCTGAACAACTCTGGGCTGCGAAGACGGGACAGTTCAAAAATGGCATGGATTGATGTGGTCAACAAAGATCAACAGCTACAAGTAAATGATACGTTGGGAAAAGCATAATGGAAGAGAAAATTAAAAATGGCAGATCCCACTGCCAGTTGGTAATAATAAATGTGCAGGAGAACAAGCGATTAAATTAAAAATTTTGTACAACCGACTTTAATATGAATAAAATCAGAATAACATCAATGTTGTCGAAATCAATTAAATACGAATTATTAAGGATAAATTAAAAAACTACTGGTCAGATCAAATATATATGGGCCACATGAGAAACACCAGCTTTTAAATAAAAAAAGAATTATCAAAATCGGCCCACGTAGAAAAAGTTCTGAGGTAACACACATAAAAAATACAGTCGAATTGGGTATCACCACCTTTTTAAATCGATAAAAAATTTTCATACGTGGTAGAGCAATGTTGCAGCTATATCATGGTTGTAGCTCGAATGGATCGGCTCGACCGGGGAAGGACCACGCTCTTACAGAATACCAGCGTAAAATAGCAGCTTAATAATACTGCTGTGTTTCATATGTTGAGTGTAAAGATCCGGAGACCCTTTTTTACTGAAAACGAGGCATTCCATTGTGGCCGTGAAAGGAAAAGGGGAGATCTCCCGCCGGGCAAGGTGTTGTGCCCGGGGAGCGGCCGACACTCCGTGTGAAAGTTCGGAGATGTTCTGTATATACGGTTTATGATTCGGAATTTTGATAGCGTGATTTAGGCTTTGGTGTGTTTCGCTTGCGGCGCGACGACAGCGCCGCCACATCACCCCCCCCCTGCTCAGACCGGAGGTCTATAGTACAGCCTCGTTGCCGACGAATATGCAAGTACCAGTGGATTGCCTTGTAGTGTGCGGTGAGTCGAGAAGAAGGCAAGTAATCTGCGAGAGTGCCGTGAAGCAGAGGCGAGCAGTAAGGCTCAGAGCCGTGCCGAACACTGTATAGCGCAGAGAGTAACTTGAAGGAACAGTAAGCATTATTATTTCAGTTCTGCGATGAACTTTGTGAAGCTAGCTGGTTTGCAGGATATGAAGACTGCAGACGATACCTGCTCGGGAGCGAATGGGTGGGGTATTCTATGACGATGATGAAGCTTGAAGTTTCCGAAGGTTGTTGGTTGCGTGTGTTTAGACGTCGGGGTCACCACTGTGGCCGTGGGAAGGAAAAGGGGAGATCTCCCGCCAGCAAGGTGTTGTGCCCGGGGAGCGGCCGACACTCCGTGTGATAGTTCGGAGATGTTCTATATATACTGTTTATGATTCGGAATTTTGATAGCGTGATTTAGGCTTCGGTGTGTTTCGCTTGCGGCGCGACGACAGCGCCGCCACACCATCTTAGTCCTCGGGGTTGATAACACATCTGCATTATGATTCTTAACCGAAGGTAAATGTAGATGTCTATAGGCCACAGCATCCACTTACCATCAGGTGGACTGTGTGCTTGTTTTTAACACTTATTCTATAAAAAAGTGAAATAAATAAGAAGAGCAAAAGTATATTAATAAGTAACACAGTATGTAGGTACGATACAATACTACGATACTCGTAGACATCACTTGTTAGAGCTATGTCACATTATTTGTTACTTAATACTACAAAAACATATATATTATATGGCGGCTCAAATTTATCTCCGTGAATTCACGCCATGAATTCACGGCACAAGTCGTGCCCTCCACATTCACGGGATGCTCACAATCGTTCGTGAAACCCGCCGCGAAACGGACGTAGAAGCTGCTGCTGCAATAACCTTATTTGCTGTAGCAACATATCACAATTTAGACGTCCGAAACAAGCAATTTATTAGAAAGCGTTGGAAAAAAAGAAGATGGTGTATGACTAAAACACATCGTCCGCGCCTTTGTAGTCCGAAAAGAACTAGCACGGTGCCGTGAATGTGGATGTGTATGCGTGAACGCCGCGCGAAGGGTGCATGAACCCTTTGTCGCGGGACAAAATACCCCGACTCTGATCGGGGAACAGACGTGAATCCCGCGAAAACCATCCACATTCACGTTCACGCCTGTTTATGAAGCTTCGCGGCGATAATGTGGAGCCGCGGATGCGGACTCCAGACTCCTGTGTGATTCACGGCGTGAATTCACGCCATAATTTTGCCGCGAAGTCGTCGCGAAAAACATATCCCTCCACATTCGCAATCGTTCACAGTATAGTTCGCGCGCTCGTCGAGAATAGTCGCTGAAATATGCACTGCCATCGCCGTGATGCTATGCGTGTTGGCTCACAATTACGTGTATATAAAAGATAAAAAAACCGTATTTGTAGTTTTTTTTTTACAATTATCGCTTTCTCCTAGAAAATCAACAGGGTTGTAAATTTTGTCGTTGCTTGCCAGACTTCCTTTCAGAATCCTTCACCTTTTTCTTATAATTTATATAACTGAACATTAGACTTTCTTTTACTTTCAATCAGTCTATTCAACGTTTTACGTGGCAGAGCCATGCTGCAGTTATATTAGTAGTATAGTTGTAGCACGAATGTGTCGGCTCGACCGGGGAAGGACCACGCTCTCACAGAATACCAGCGTAAAATAGTAGCTTAATGCTGCTGTGTTTCGTATGGTGAGTGTAGAGAACCGGAGACCCTTTTTACTGGAAACATATAACTATACTAATTAAATATACAACTTAACAATAAGTATACATAGCGGTGAGTCATCGCAGAGTCTACTTCACCCGAAGATGTCTCGTCTAGAAGCGAAACATCTAGTGTAGTGGTAATGGGAGTAGTGGTGTTAAGATTAGTGGTGACGAGGATAGTGCACGTCATTTACGGAGGGCGGAAAGTGCTCTTTATACTAGGTACACATAATTTTACTTTATTACGCGGATCATGTTTAACATCGTTACTATAAAGGATTTCCGTAAAGTAATGTTACATATATTAAATAAGGGCCTACCATCGTCTTTGAACGCATTACGACCAGCTTCGGCCCAAAACATCAAACGTTGAACCGCGTGCGATAGTCGTAGCTCTTCACACTCTCCATTGCCAAGGTCCACGAGACGAGATATGCCCATCTAGAATAAGAAGACTGTGAGTTACGTGTACGTTAAGTAAGAAAGTTACTAATTTAAAATTATAAAAATATAAAATTGAAAGGTACAATAGTTTAAGGATCTATATTATTCAAAATCAAAATATTATTAAAAAAATATGATAAAAATTTCGTTCATGGGAGGAAATGATTCGTGAAAAGGGAGCACGAGAGAAACCTAGAAATATAGTGTCCTTAAAATGTAGCGCCTCTAACTATCACAAGAGATAACATTTTGCACATCTACCCGGCAATAAGTTTTGGCAAAGCCCTTGTATTTACATCTTTGCAAGGTATGATGAACGCTATTGTGCTCTGTGGCAATTGTAAACCTCTATTTGAGTTTAGAATTGGTCGATAGGGGATTTGGTCGATGTGAAGCCGAAAGTGATTACCGTGGGTATAATAATCAGAAATATATGGAAATAAGTATCTATTATTAAAGTGCCATCATTAGATACGCAATTAATATTTTAAAGCTTTATTTTAAGTTAATCATATAAATTCCAGATCATTATGTAAAATAAGGTGATTAATCAAATACAAATTAGTAATAGCTACTAATATTTTACGGTTGTATACCATGCAGTGGCCGTTTTGTGACGATGTACTAACAAGAATATTCCCTACCCCCTATCGTCCCGTGTATGGAGTGTAGAAGTAAGGAGTACCAACTCCCATAGGAGAATAGTTGAAAAAGTGTCCATCTATAAGCAGTAAATAACAGTTCAAAAACTCTCCACTGCAACGCTCGAGTAGCTACGGGGTATGTTAAATCACCGTAAAATACGTTGAGAGTGATTTTCAAAACAAAAATTTTGAAAGCAATAAAATAATTATTGTAAAAATAATTATGGTAAAAGTCTGTGCAATAAAAAAATTATAAAAAGTTCTTTAAAATTTAGACCGTAGCTGCAGTGGCGCCACCCTTATTTAACGCTTTCCTACGAACACTTTTTTACACAGAGTCTGTACTCCTTACTTCCACACTCCATAGTCCCGTGGGTGTCATAAGATGCGACAGAGGTAAACTGAAACAGGAGATGGGTAACAGCATCTTTCTAATAACAACAACAGCTCAAACTTATAAAAACCTACAGCTGCCAACCGCGGTAATTACGCCGAAATCTTCCATATGAAGCAATCTATGGGGACTGGGGAGGCCTATATTCAGCAATAGACCGATTGGCTGTAATGGATGGAAACACAACTTAACGATAATAAATAACGCTACTTACAGGATCTGGTTTATAGTTTAGAGGGGACAAAAACTGAGGACATTTGTCGCAAATACTTTATCACCCAAAAACTTCAAAAGAATTATCTGTTCTTTTTCTTCTTTATCATCAGCCTCATCAGCCTCTCAATATAACGGTTATTTGTCTACGTCTTCTAGATTACAACTCAAAAAAAATGCCAATGTCAACCCGGGCGCAAAGCGTGGTACTGCTGGCGTGGTGCAACTAGGTATCGTAAAATCCTCCCTATGGGGCAGTCTACGTGGCAGTCTACGTCCAGCAGTGGATTTTATAGGCTGTAATGGCTGGATTCTGTGCTAGCTTGATCTTTGCCGGCCTAGCCGACCATTATACATTGCGGCATGGTTCCGCCAACAAAATTCGAGACAAATATCAAATATTGAACAGGTTGCTCCAAAGGTATTATTTACTGTAGAACACACAGTTTTTCTAAACTATTACACATAGGCTACGCAACAGTAAGTAGTTTACCTTAGAGTATTACGTTGAGATGGCGCACAAAGTAATATTTCGTTGATTGTAGAAAAACATCACAGAGAAACATACAAGTCTAAGGAATAAAAAAAAGCGGCCAAGAGCGTGTCGGGCCACGCTCAGTGTAGGGTTCCGTAGTTTCCCGTCCGTCACAATAAGTGTTCCCACTTATGACTTTAAAGGTGGGTATCCATTATGTTCGCGCTCCAGCAGCGCTCCGCGCTCCTGCAACTGCTCCCGGTAGTGGGTACTGTTGTTTCCATCCAAGTTCAAAATGATTTTCCTAGAAAGTCTTTATAAAGTTCTACTTTTCAGATTTTTTTCATATTTTCTAAACTTATGGTTCAAAAGTTAGAGGGGGGGGGGACACATTGTTTTTTACTTTTGGAACGATTATTTCCGAAATTATTGACATTATCAAAAAATGATTTTAGTAAACCCCTATTCATTTTTAAATACTTTTCCAACAATATATCACACGTTAGGGTTGAAATTAAAAAAAAAATCACTTCCCACTTTACATACAGGAGGGCTACCCTAATAAAACATTTTTTTCCAAATTATTTTACCACTTTGTCGGCGTGATTGATACACATATTGGTACCAAATTTCAGCTTACTAGTGCTAACGGTCACAGAGATTATGCGAGGACGGACAGACGGACAGACAGACATGGCGAAACTATAAGGGTTCCTAGTTGACTACGGAACCCTAAAAAATTCATGAGTACAATACATTGATCTATACAAATAAAGCGAAGTGCAGAAGAAACTACCATTCACCATTACATTCGTTAAAATGATAGAACTTTCGTGCTTTTAGACTTTCGTAGCTTATGAATATACGAGTATTAAGCTTTAACTTACTGATTGCAATTTGCTCGGTAACAAAAGGGTCATGCGAAGAGTATAAAGAGGTAAAGTGACAGCTACTCGAAGTGTATACATTCGCTCAAGCACGTGATGAATACTTGTTTCAGCTAGGTGAGCAGCTAACTTTCGTAGAGATCGCCCACGAGGTACTAGTATTAGAAGAGATAAACCGGGCGTCGCGTAATTGATTTCTATAGCCTATAAACAAAAAATTTAGTTGAATGCCGAATTCATATGTTGTAAGTGTTAAGCTATGAATTAATTAAAGATCTTAAAAATTTATTTGCTTATATTTGCGTAATAAAATAAAATGAGGTGTTTTATCTAGTCAGAATAGCACCCCGCCCTCCCTCAATTAGACTTTGCTAATCTGCTGCTACCGCTAAGTTTAGCGGAAGCAGAGTCTATTTCACCTGAGCATGCCTCGTGTAGAGATGAAACACGTGTCGTATTATCAACGATGTTGTGCCTTTCCTAGTGTGGTAGTGTTGAGAGTGGTGGTGCTGGTATTAGTGGTGACGGGGACAGTGCACACAATCGAGGGAGGGCGGGAGGTGCTTTTCAGACTGGGTAAGAACATTATTTTATTTTATTACGCGGATATAAACTATTTGGTAGCTCAGATGGTTAACGCTCGCTGTAAATATAACAGAATGCGAGTAACCCGGGTTCGATCCCCCGGCTTGGCACGAATGAGGATTACATTAGCCTACTCCTATGTTTCGAAGGCTTACCTTCGTGATATTATGTTTTTTTATTTACTAGCCATACGTGCGAATTCGTTCTTAGTTTGAAACTTTCATCATCATCACCATCAGCCTGCGGCAGTTCTGACAGTTCTACGGCTGCCACGTTTCGGCACCATAAGTGAGTACGGGCAGAACGCATTGGTAGAAGGCATAGGAAGACTTTTGCCTTCAGACTTTGCGCTATGGGCAACGAGAAAACCCGACGGAGCTTTCTAAATGATGAGCAGCCTAACTGAATCCTCCGATCGGCTTTCTTTTCGAAGTTATTCTTACCTAGTTGCAATGTCTGCCCGAAAAAGGTATATTACTGGAATTCTTTGAGAACTTCACCATCAACAGTAATTGGCATCAAAAATCTAGATATGTATACAACTATAAGATGTAATTTCGTCATAACTTTTCTCTCTCATATTAGCCGTAACGCATTGTTACTCAATCTAATAGAGTTAGATAAGCCTGCAAGCAATTTGGTTTTTATGCAGATTTTAGCACAAATAGTATTTACATTAATACATAAGTTTTCTGCCTGATATAGGTACATGCATCATAAGTTCAAAAGAAAATTAACCTACAAACATTGATATATTATAGTTAAGTTCCGTGCTTCGAAATGAGTTTATGATTAAAATTTAATTTTTATCCGAAATAAATTGTTTGCTGGTTACATTAGTACATAAATATTGAAATCAAAATATCGTCTGGCAAATGATACAAGTGATATTTTGTATCAAATAACTAGAACATATGCCATCATAGGGGGCGTACACTGTATAAATGATTTTGATTATATTAATGTGAGAAATTTCATTCAAGTTATAGAATCACTGCGGGTGACAATGTTTCTGGTCTCCGTTTATTTAACACTTTTGATTGGATTTTATAGCGTCCATGCCGATTCATCCCTTAGTGAAAGAGAAATACCTCTTCATGATGAAGCTAAACTACACAAAGATTTATTACAAGCCTACAATTCCGATGATCGGCCCGTTCAAGATTATAAAAATACTGTTACAGTTAAAGTAAGGATTGCTCTTAAATATATCAGTTTTGATTCATTAGAAGAAACGTTCACGATGCACAGTTGGATGGCGTTGACATGGAAAGATGAGTATTTGAAATGGACCCCATCTGATTACGGTGGTATCAAGGAAACTCAGATCGAAAGTCATGAAATTTGGACGCCGCGATTGGCTTTGTTCAATGCAGATGCGTCCTTATATCAATCGGACTCCTTTTACACGACTTGTCTTTTAGCCAATGACGGGGCAGTTACTTGCGTGCCATCAGTAGCACATACGGGTATTTGCCGTACTTCATTGCGTCGTTGGCCATACGACTCGCAGAACTGCACGATGTTTTTTGGATCCTGGATGCATACTGGTGAGCAAGTTAACTTTACATTCTATCAAAAACAACCCGTGGTAACGGATGACTACCAAAATGGTCCAGGCTGGCGCTTGATGAACGTTTTAAATGAGCGTTTACCTGGGAAGTACAGTTGCTGTCCAAACACTACTTATCCAATGTTGAAGTATACATTTGTGATGAAGAGAGAGGCTGCTGGTCCGGCCGCGATTGTCGTCGTGCCATCTATCGTCATAGTGATTCTTACATTGATCTCGTTGGTGTTGGATGTGAAAGATAATACAAGACTTTTAATGACATGTTTTAGCCTTTTCAGCCATTTCATTTTTCTTACTGAAATAGGGTACGATATTCCTAAACATAGTTCCGATACGCCTATAATACTATTATTCGTCCGTGATTCGATGATTGTGACCCTAGCGGCTATAGTGGTTACGTTGTTACTAATGTCATTGAGACGACGCATGGTACCTCCACCGACATGGATTGTGTCTGTCAACCGTCTTGTTAGTAATGGCCCTGGAAAATATGTTGTATTCACTGAGTTCGACCCTAACGATGCTACGGAAGTAAAAGTTCTCTCGGAAGACGGCAACGCCTCCAGTGCAAACGAAGATAGATCTCGCGCCGCGGCCGATTGGATTCAATTCGCAAACTTACTCAATAGTTTTGTATTCATAACTGCTCTCTTCGTTTACCTCATTTTGATTATTGCATGTATACCATATGATAATTAGATCTCAATGTGCTTTTAATATATTATATAATCTCTTAAAAAATCACTTTATCTCTATCACCTACATTTAGTGCAATTTGTCTTATTGTGTGAGATTGGTTGAACAATATAATATGTGTAATTCATAATTCATAAGAAAATTCTTTTAACAAACCTCTGCATCCCATTCATTTAATTCGGTGTATTGCATCATATCATTAATTCTGATCATTCGCGCGGATCGATGAGGGGCGTCCTCGGTGTCATGGAAGACGTGTGTGCCATTGAGAACAGTGGGGGCCGAACGCCAACGGGGTCGAATGTACATAGTTGTCAGAAGTACTGAACAAATGCCTTTAGATAATTCGTCCTCTTCAAAAGTTTCATGCATTGCACCTCCAGAATCCTCTAGAATCTATTAACAACAATAAATACGATGTTATAGCGACATAGCATTTAATGTTTTATAATTATGCCAAGTAACTATCACACGTAAGGTAGTGGAAGAAAACAATGTGAGGAAACGCGATATACGAGTATGTTTATTTACGTCAGAGAAATTTTGCACTATTTTTTTAAAACATTAGTAATCTTATTAATTAACATTACTAATATTTCTTTTAACCACTCCTGGTAAGCTTGAAACGCTTGTGTTAGGAGTGGTTCACGACAGTAGTCAAATGGCGGATTCGAACCCACGACCTTTTCAGTTCGCGATCCGCGCCCTGCCATTAGGCTACTGTCGCTGTCAGAGAAATTTTGCACTTCACTCACTTGGATCAAAGATCAAAGTGGCAGACAAACTAGCTTCATTACTTTGCAGAAAGATACTATCTGTTGCTGTTTCTTTATGCTAATTGGACAGTGCTTTTTATTTTGACGACGACTATGAATTTAATACCTAAGTAACCGATACATATACTATATTAGGGAAGTACCTGCTGTAACTTCTGTGCAACTTCTATGTTATATATTAATAGTGGCCGCCTCGTTGGCTTACTACTTTGTTTGTAGAATGTTATTTTTAACTTTCCGCTAAGAAAATTTTCAAAAATAGGGAAGTTATTGGTTCCGATTTTTGAACATCGAGTTTTCATCAGATCTCGACGTTTTGAGATCCCAGGAAGCTATTCTGACCAACTTTATGTGGACGTCCGTACCGTGTGTGTATGTAAGTATGTAAACCCTTCATAACTTTTTAACGTCTTAATCGATTGAGATGCGGTTTGCGGCGTTCTAAATATCTTAAAGTGGAATAGATTTGTTGATAATATGAATTGATTCATACTGACGAGTAGATATTGAGAAATCTCAAAAATAAAAAAATTTGTGAAACTGTTTTTTTTTCGAATAACTTTTAAACGGCTTTAGCGATCGATGTCAAAAACTAATCAGCTTTTAACCTCAAAAGAAGACGTTGAATGCCCTTTGGAAAATAAAAATCGGTTTATTTGTTCGTGAGATATCAAAGGATAAAGAATTAAAAAAAAGCGTTTTTTAACATTACTTCAAAATTTCGCAACTGGGAAAGTTTGTGCTTCTTACATTATTAGTAGAACTAACATACCTGCGTCGAATGCCTTTTTGAACATGAAAATCGATTTATCCCTTCATGAGATATCGAAGAAGAAAACTTTTGAAAAAACCATTTTTTTAAGATACTTCCCGCCAAGTTTAACTTAGTAGTAAGTAAGTAAAACTTAGCGGGAAGTTACAGGCCATCCCTGGCCTGTATGGTCAACCAATTTTATTTTATTTCAAATAAATCAGCAGTTTACAATAATCTTTATCGCTGAGCCTTATTTCCAAAATTAAAAGCTAATTTACATTGTTGGCACACATAGAACTCACAGAGTAGGTAGTTTTCTTTTTAATTAAAATAAATTACTACTTTTTCGATTCTTTACGTTTTTAAACGTAAAAAATTCTAAGAAGTATCGGGGCTTAAGTATGGAAAATTATGCCTGCAATTAAATTCACAGTTCTATTTTTATAAAATGTATTTTAAAAAGCATGTCGTTAAAAAGTAATTGGGTTTGAATTTTCAAAGTTGCAGCCTATTAACTAATATTTTTCCCACTGCTTGGTACGGATCTTCTATCATTTCTGAGCGGGATACGGAGAAACAAGTAAGACACGCTGCACCATTGCCTGTTGACAAACTTCACACTTCGTCGAAATACGTGGTGGAGCTACGCTATACTGCAGCTATATTATGATTGCACCACAAATATGTTGGCTTAACCGGTGCAAGACCATGCTCTCACAGAATATCAGCAAAAATACCAGCTTAGTGCTGCTGTATTTTGTCTAGTGAGTATACAGGACTGAAGACCCTTTTTACTGGAAACGATGCATTCTATCTTAGTCCTCAGGGGTGATAACACATTTGCATTTTAATTCTTAATCGAGAATAGATGTAGATGTTTATGGGCCACAGCATTCACTTACCATTAGGGGAACTGTGTGCTCATTTATTAATTTATTTTATAAAAAAATATGCCCCAGAAGTTCCTTTACCGCCGAACACATGATTTTTATCTAGGTTGGGCGGAGGACTATAGAACTCTGTTTAATAATTTATATTTTCAAAACTTTTTAACACAAGAAATAATTATTAATTAAAATTAATTTATTATCCTTATCTAAGTTATTTTTTTTATAATTAATATAAAAACTTGGACTTAGATAAAGATAATTAACCCTTTAAAATATAAATAAATACGATAAGATATGTATGAAATTTTTTTTATATTCAACTAGCTATCGGCCTGGCTTAGCTTGGGTAGAAGTCAGTAATGATGTGTGGCGTTTTTCAACAAAAATCTCAAAGTTTTTCGGACAAACAGGTTGACAGACAGAAAAATTGATAAAAGCTAAAAGCAGTTATTTCAATTTTACAGGTAGATTCTTCAAGTTTATTTATTAGAGAAAAGTAATGATCCATCCCTACCTTGGACCCCTTGTCATATCCTAGTTAGTAGGTTTTGACATTTCTGGGGCGTAAGCCTCCAAAACAAACAAATTCTTTAAATCCACTTTTATTCGTGCTCGCAGCAGCCTTGGGCACATGTTAAGACTAACTTAGAACTTAATTAAAATCAAATATGTGATTTAGTCATATATCAACTTATTTGACTAAGAAATCATTACATTATGTTACCATTTTATTAAGGATCCGTTGCAATGATTTCGCTGTGTCAGTTCTATTGATACGGTTGAGATGTAGCTGAAGAGCGTTTGCTAATCCGTGCTCGAACTGCGGCTGTAAGTTTGGTTTAACATCTAACGTCAGCCTCGTCGAGAAGCGAAACTTGAGGGCGTCGCTTGATTTTGGTAAAGACGAAACTGTTTCCTTAAAAATGTATATTTTTTCCTGTGATAAATCCAAGAATATCCATTAAATAATGAATATCCATTAACCATGAAAATTATTTATATACGTGGTAGAGCCATGCTGCAGCTTTAATGTGGTTTCAGCACGAATGGGTCGGCTCGACCGGGGTAGAACCACGCTCTAACAGAATACTAGCGTAAAATAACAGCTTAATGCTGCTGTCTTTCGTATGGTGAGTGCAGAGAACAAAGGAGAGAAAGGCATTCCATCTCAGTCCTCAGGGCTGGCAACGCATCTGAATTTTGATTCTTAATTGAAGATAAATGTAGATATCTATGGGCCACAGCATCCACTTACCATCAGGTGGACTGTGTGCTCATTTGTTACCCTTATTCTATAAAAAAAATTGAACGAATTCATTATAAGTTTTAGTTAATAGTCCAGAGACGGTGTAAGAATATTCGCTACCAGCTATAATTTCATGACAGTCGTAAGAGGCGACTGAGGAATACTAAACCAGGAGATGGACAGCATTATCTTCCCGATAACGACTAAATAATAAATAACTGCGGTTCAAAACCCGTCTGCCAATCATGGCAACTACAGCAAATATACCTACTCCCCATGAATAACGGTACAATGAGGCCAGTCCTGGCCGGGCCCATTATTCCTGGCTACGTTGACGACCATGACATGAAGAAAGTCGATAGGTGCAGGAGAGGCCTATATTTAGCTGTGGATTTGTGAAAGGCTGTAATAATGATGATTAATCTAAACATCATACTAGAGCCAAATCGTTGCATTAATGTCCCAGTTTTGCAACTTTACAGTTCTATCATAAATAAATAAATATAATAAAAATACATCTATTTCCAAATAATATTTTTCATAAATTAGTGGTGAAACAACCACAGAGGGTGATTACTCATGTTGGGGAAGTTGGTATGGTTAAGTATGGTTGTTCATCTCGTAATATACTTATACTAAGTACTACATTGTTAGTTATTAGACTAGATAAAGCTATCTCGGTTAATAGAATCATCCTATTAGCTTTCAATGTCTCTGTTTTATATATAGTTAACTGCCGGTTTGCTTATAGCTTAGTTTTAGAAAAAAGAACTCATTCTCCATTTCGCTTTCCAATCGATCAATCGTCAATCGATGGTGAAATGAATCAGTCGACATCGATCGATAGTTTCTACCACATCGATCGATCGATCAATAGTAGAAAAAATTAGTCAAAGTCGATCGAGTTGCTTGATTATTAGAGAAACTATTATCCGCTTTCGAATACATTTTGAAAGATACTGATGATGATCGATTAAATTGTCGATTGACGTCGACCGATGATTGAAAAATGTTTTATCTACCAGTATCAGCTATCAGCTAAAGCTACTACACCAATATAGATACGATTGAGGGTAGGTTATGCAATTTAAATTATTATTACCGTGTCAGAAAGTTGAAGTCCAATACAATCTTCGATTTCTTGCCTTGTGCTATTGTCGACTTCGGAAGAAAGAGCCATTAAAGTTAACTGTAAAAATAATCCCGATTGCACAAAACTTATCCCATTTTCCCTTCGATTCACTGGGCTTATTTGCGATAGTTTGGTAAATGTAACCTGAAAGTCAAAAAAATTATGTCATACATATTCATATTCATAAGTTTTTTTTATAGTGGAGGGGGCAAACGAGCATGCGGCTCACCTGATGTTAAGTGACTACCGCCGCTCATGATCAACCGCAACACCAGGGAAATTGCAGGTGCGTTGCCGGCCTTTTAGAAAGGAGTAAGATCTTTTCTTGAAGGTCCCCAGGTCGTATCGGTCCGGAAAAATCGCCGGTGGTAAACTATTCCACAGAGAGGACGTACGCGGAAGAAAACTCCCTGTGAAACGTACAGTGGTGGACCGCCAGGCATCCAGATGGTGTGGATGTTATCGGGACGTTTGCCGTGTAGTGCGTTCACGAAATTTGGCGGCTGGGATTAATCCGAACAATTTCTCAGAGCACTCCCCATGGTATATGCGAAAGAAAATGCAAAGAGATGCAACATTTCTGCGCAGCGCCAGTGAATCAAGCCGATCGGAAAGCACTCGGTCGTCGACGATTCGAGCCGCTCTACGCTGGATGCGGTCAAGTGGAAGGAGCTGGTGTTGGGGAGCTCCAGCCCAGAGATGGGAACAGTATTCTATGTGCGGCACGATGTGCGCCTTGTAAAGTTGCAGGCGTTGTGCCGGCATGAAATACTGTCCCGCCCTGCTGAGCACGCCAAGCTTTTTAGAGGCCAATTTGGCCTTCTCTTCCAAGTGACCACGAAACTGTACGTCACTCGATATGTCGACGCCGAGGATTCCGATACTGGCTGAAGCAACAAGGGGAGTGCCTTCAAACTGAGGAGATACAACAAAGGGGTTCCTTTTAGCGGTTAACGCGCAAACTTGTGTTTTCTGAGTGTTAAACTAGACTAGATTTAGTCGCCCCCAATCCGAGACTCTGTTCAGCAAAGACTCGACTTGAGACATAAGTTTGTCCCGGTACTTGGAGACGTTTTCCCGATAAATATTGGCACGGCCGGTGTACAGAGCATCACCAGTGCTGTCATCTGCATAGCGATGAATGTTACGGGTTTGCAACATATCATTGATATGCAGAAGAAACAGCGTTGTCGATAGCACGCAGCCTTGTGGAACACCAGCATTAATAGGCTTGCAATCGGAGCTTGCACCGTCTACAATGACCTTGATGCTCCGATCTGCAATAAAGCTGGTGATTCAATCGCACAATTTCTCGGGAAGCCCATAGGAAGGTAGCTTCGAAAGAAGCGCTTTGTGCCAAACCCGATCGAAGGCCTTCGCAATGTCCAAACTAACGGCCCATGCCTCCCCCTTGGACTCTACTGCCTCCGCCCAACTATGTGTTAGGTAGACCAGAAGATCACCAGCTGATCGACCACGGCGAAAACCGTATTGGCGATCACTCTATCACACAAACCGTATTCGCGAGCATCATCAGCTGATTAGCAGCTGGTGATGCTCAAGGTACCTCATGAGCTGACAGTTTACGTCTCCATTGTTTTGGAGAACAAGAGGTGATGGCGACAGGCCGGTAGTTGGACGGGTCCGAGCGGTCGCCTTTTTTAGGGATCGGGTGGACGAAAGCCGTCTTCCACGATTTTGGTACTACGCCTAGGGAGTAGGAGTACCGGAAAAGAAGTGTTAAAACCGGTGCCAACTCTGGAGCACACGTCCTCAGCACAATCGGGGGGATTCCGTCAGGCCCACTTGCCTTGTGGATGTCCAGGGAGAGGGAGTGCTTTGCGAACCGAGCGCTGTGTGAACTGCACTTCCGGCATGGAGCACTCACACCGCGGGATGGTCGGCGGCGTACTTCCCGCGTCAACGACAGTCGAGTTGGACGCAAAGAAAGAGCCTAGCAGATCGGCTTTCTCCTTTGCGGTATGGGCCAGTGAGTCGTCCTCCCTGTGCAGAGATGAAAGAGATGGCTGACAGAAATTCCCCTGGACAGCTTTGGCGAGAGGCCAGAATGCTCGGGTTCCAGAATGAAGGCGAACTAGTTTCTCGCCAATTCTATCTATGTAATCTGAATTTGCCTTGGCAGTAACTCTTTTGAAGGACCGAGAGGCGGGATTATACTTCTTTTTTAGAGCGCTGGTGTTTACATCCCGGGACGTTGATGCGTCAGCCCAGGCTTGGTAGCACTCCTGCTTATAGCATGATGCTATTTTACAGTACAGTGTACTTTTTCATAAGTCTGTGTTGATAACAGACGTTGTGCTGCCCTTCGAGTTAGATGGTGCGACCATACCCAATCCACGAAAGTGATATTAGGTATCATGGTATGACTCTGTTGAGATTAAGTAAAAAATTGCAGCGCAATTTTATTTCTAAATTTCGTAAATTTTAATTTAATGGAGTGGGACTCTGAGATGAAAGCCCTTAATTCTCCTGTAAAACCAAGATTCTACAAGCAGTACTGATTCACAAGCAATAACAGTACCTAGACGATAGTTTATCCAGTGGATAAAGTAAGTGCATTTTGGTAGTATCGTTTGGCATATCGTCCCCTTGTAAATATGGATGTCGTAAAGTACTCGAAACGTTTCTAATATAAAATAACTTAATAAAGCGCGAAACATCCGTAAAACTTGTAAGATTTATTGCTAAATGTAAAGATATATTTAAGCTAAAACATCTATTTAAGAAAAGCAAAACAATTATTATTCATTAATAATGTTTTATTCTTTTAACGTCAAAGCGGTGTCACGCATAACTGTGTAAGTTTTTTTACATGTAGTCTATTGTGAATATGTGTAATTTTGGTCCATAAATATAGAATTACATCTTAATAGTACTTAATAAGTACTTCTACACCCGTCGGATACGTCGGATACCTACGATTCATCGTCACGACGTTATTATCCATGAGTAGTTAGTACCAGTTCTGGCTCACTGAGTCAGAAGTGGTACAACGTTCGTCGACTCACGATCCTAAAAAAAAAGGTTTTGGCATGCTCTGATCACGATTCTGCGATCCGTTTTTGCGTAGGATGCACGGTTCCGGAGATGTGCAGATCAATTAACTCTTATCTAATTGATATCCGGTGAGGGCCTCCACCGTCATTAGCGCTCCATTGTTCTTATCTATTTATCTATTGTTCATTTAATACCGTCATTATTTCTTCCTCGGCGTGTACGTCAGATTATCAGTGCTATTGTATTATACTCCTTTGTTCCTATCTACAACGGTAATCTGAATCATCAATAAAATACATTACCTCATTTTGTTAAAATTTTTATTTACAAAATACAAAATCTTATTACTTATTGTCTATAAAATAGGAGCGAAACATCTCATCCACTAAAATATCGTTGTACAATGTGTTCCCTGTAAATATACTCGTAAAACTATGCATTGAACATCCCTGAAACTTATATAGCAAATACATTAAGCAATATTCGCCACAAACTGAAGTCCACTCATTCTGAATCCTATCAACATTCCAGTTCCATCTTTTACAATTCCTTTTTAAAACTCTAGATGATATCGTACAGGTGCTCGTCCATATGAATCAAAATATTGACCGACGTCATTCATTTTATAAAGCTACCCAATGTGACCCTGGTTTATCATCTGTATCCAAATTGCATATTATATACGTTGGCACGTGGGTGTACATGGGCAGTCTATTGGCAGCATAAACATTATTTTCTAGACTGGGGTGAATCTTTTTCAGATGTTTTTGTACATCTAGTGTATCCATGATATTACTGCTATTAGTAGATTATTACAGTACAATCTACTCAATGACTAACATAGGAATGATCAATTATAGTGATTTTTAAATATTAAATTGCATTGTTTTGTGTTATACAAAACGTATTTGAGTCATCGCCGACCTGAACAAGACGCAACACGAAGGAATGTTGAGATATACAACAAAATGTGAGATAAGCTTGTTGACGCATAAAGTTACTATCAATTCCACTGCAGAAATTCTTTAGATTAGAATTATTACTTACTGGTACTATATAAGACCAAGCAACTGCAGTCATGGAGTTAGTGTATGGTCGTTTGACCGCAGTGGATCTATCAATACTACATTTGTGTTACTTCAACGCATCAAAGGCCATGGATGTAAGTGTTTATTCTATTGATAAACTTACTTTTCTCTCTGTTATTTTCTTACGTGTGTATGATTTAGTGTTAACAAATTATATTTAAATATTGTGTGTGTATATGATTAAGCCGTGGTAGCTCAGATGGTTAGCGCAAGCTGTAAATTTCACAGTACGTGACCCGGGTTCGATCCCCGTTGGCACCAATTAAATTGTTAATTGCAATTTTAAGTGTTTATTCTATTGACAAACTTACTTTTCTTTCTATTATTTTTTTACGTGTGTATGATTTAGTGTTAACAAATTATATTTAAATATTGTGTGTGTATATGATTAAGCCGTGGTAGCTCAGATGGTCAGCCCAAGCTGTAAATTTCACAGTACGCGACCCGGGTTCGATCCCCGCCGGCACCAATTAAATTGTTATTGCAATTTTAAGTGCTGATTTACCACGTGCTCGGCGTTGAAGGAAAACATCGTGAGGAAACCTGCATGTCTGAGAAAATTTCGAAGGCATGTGAAGCCAACACGCATTGAGGCAGCGCCGCGGACATTTCCTAGCCATAAATACAAAGACAATAGCAGAAAGTAAAAAGTTAAAAAATACTTTTTAACAATGACAGTCATTAGTTGATCATTAGTGAATGTGATTCTGTTTACTTAAATTACAGGAAGACAAGAGCAGAAGGAAGAAATGGGATGATGGGAAGTAATGAAGCATTGTTATGTGAAGTTTGTTGGAACAAACATATTTTTAGTCACGTGTAAATACTTTTAACATTTTGGTTCAAAATGACACAAAATCTAAAAAAATATTAGATACATCATCGACATGGACGGATTTTACATTACATATCCTCATAAACATTTTCAATGTAGAGAAATGGCTATTCTAGAAGTAAAACTATCTAATAAAAATGATGCGTTTATCGATCATTATTTGTTTCGGCCAAGTTATCCTTTCAATTATTTGTCGCCAAAAA